TCTCTCTCTCTCTCTCTCTCTCTCTCTCTCTCTCTCTCTTTCTCTCTTTGCGTTTATCTAACATTATCAGAGCTTTTATTTGTAATATGATTAGTTATTATTAAAATTGTTTACGGTTGCAAATTGCATTGCACGTTTTTTTCGATAAAGAATCAATTCATCTTCATGCTCGAATTTCGCGCAACGTAATATCCAACGAGTCGAAGAGTCAGTCAGTCAAGCTGCGGTAACAATCTCGAAGGAGCTCGTTCCTTCTTTCGCCTTTTGCCGCAGAAGAAACACCCGCAGGGCTTGGCAACTTTTTTTCATCAGCATTTTACGGTTATACCAGCGCATTAATAATGCACATGCTTAATATAAAGAGAGGCTCGCGAGTCTCCGTCTAATAAACTGGAAGAATGCTTTATAACCGTTCGCGGTTTTGGGCCGTGAGGGGCGAGCGACGGCGAGGTGGCGAAGGGTGCGCTGGAAAGGCAAACTAAAGGGGGTGGCTTTCTTCTTTATGCTCGCCAAACGGCCAATCTTTCCTCCGCGCGTCGAAGGAAAGTGGCCTAACTTTCCGGCGTTACGAAGAGACAACGAACTCGTCGCACGATATATCCTCTGGAAGCGTGACTCGTTAAAGGATCTCCGCCATTCTTTCGTCAATCCCCGTATATATATGTACTCCTCTCGCTCCACCATAAAAAATTTATTTTGTCAAAAATTTGTCAGCGCTAGTCGATGCGAAGATTGAACGGAACCATGTTGACTTTACAAGTTTTGCGATCTAAACTTTGATTAATTTGTATTAATCAAATGCATGAATAATAATCGAATAAAGGCATTTATTTATTATCTACGGCGGTTATGTCATTTATGATAAAAAGCTAGTTGAGTGATATCCGTGTGGCGCGAACGTAAATCATCTTTAGCGTAAGAATTTTCATATCCATCTTATCCTTGAGTGCCAAATGAATTTTTCGTTCTTCCAAGGCTGATTTCCGAGTTGCGAGCGAGAGGAGGCGCTCCAGATAGCGAAGGTGAGACTTTTTGAAAAATATGAGTTTAATAAAGAAGGTAGTATGATGTATGACCCGGCGTCGAGGAAGGGAACTTGCCAGGATCAACCAGCTTCGATACACAGATATTGTATACGTAATATAACTAGATGAAGGAAATGGGCGTGATGTACTGGATGTCAAAATGTCTCGCGAGAGGTTCGACGTTGCTTTCACGTTGCCAACAAAATTGCGGGAAACTTCCCGTTAAACTGAAGAGGGGTGGAGGAATACTCGTTATCGGATTTCGTCGCTCATAGACGGTCGATCACCCTCTTCTTATCACGATTCGTCAAAAGTCACGAGGATATTATTTGTGGGAAAAAAATTTATGTAAATTCAATCCTACGTCTGCGATAAATAATTTTCAATGCAGGATGTTTTCGTTTTAATAAGCCGTCCGTTTGTAAATTCTTTAGAGTCGGTTTTTTAAATGAAAAAATAACGTCAGGAAATTATCATTTTTTGCAAGTTCTCAAGCTTTCCATAAGTCAGTTCTTAATATAAAAGTCTGTTAAAATAAAGAAATTTGCTTGAAAATTATTAAAACATTTATTAATACATTAGCCGAATGACTTTTATCAATCTACAGAAGTCAAATGTTCAACCTTTTACTACCTATCTCATGGTATTTGGAAACGTTTTTATCACCCTGCATTTTTTCTCCTCGACGCATAATATTGCGTGGAGATATTGAATATTTCATCGCGAAGATCCGTATTTTTCTCCGGGTGATTGTCATTCGAATAGGTCCAAGAGCGACAGGCGCGTCCGGACAGCGCGGCGCAGGGAACAGCAAAATCAATTATTCATCCGAATTGGCCGGGAAAAAGTCCTAATTATCCGGAGCAAATACAACCTTAATACGCAAAAGTATACCATCGCCTCCTCCTCCGCCTCAATCTTTCTCTCTCTCTCTCTTTCTATCCGCAAACTCCCGGCCACGACCGCGCAGTCACTCTTCGGCACAACCTTCTCCTTCTTACCGTGAATAACCATTTGTATTTCCAATTAGCTTTGCTAATAAGAAGACGGAGGCATTGCCGTAGTTTAAAAAAAATGTATAACCTCATCCAGCCACTGGGGAAATAAAGAAAAGCGCCGTCCCGGTATGACAATACCGACGGGTCGGGCGGGGTTATATCGGGCGAACTACAATTAAAAATCCTCGCTTCACCCTCGCTTAACCCTGGCTCCTCCTTATGTCGTATTAACGACCGGGACCGTGCAAGGATCGCTACGGGGATATCGTACCAAATAGCGAGAATATTTTTTTCCCCCAATTATATGCTTGACCCCTTTGCATTTTCTTTTTTACCCACGCGCTCTCTTTTTTATTCCGACGTCGCGACATCTTTTTTAGCATCGTGTCGATTTACTCTGTTCGGCGCGGCGGCAATTTTCTCTGTCTGTAAAGCGAATAAAATGGGTTATAAAAATATATCCGAGAGGAGAAATATTCATTTTCCTGACCATGTAGCTGAGGTGGTCAACCTAGTTATAAATATGGGGAATCGATACATAAATTCTGGCACCTGCACTTCCAGTTCTTGTTTTAACTATATTTAGTAATTAACACATTATAACATTTAATATTATTCTATTATATTTTATGCAAGATAATTATTTAATCTTATTTTATTTGTATATATGTTGAGAGTGCAAATGTCGTAAAAGAAATATACATATATAGAATATTTAAGGTATTTTATTTTAATAAGAAGTTAATAAGTTTGTTGTTGCAATAAGTATTTTATAGTCTTGTATTAGCAAGATTTCTATGCACATTAAATATTGTTGATAAAACACAATTATTAATGTCAAAGACATATCACCAAGATTCTAAAATATTATACGTGCTCGATCATAAATACCTATGTCCGTACAAAAGAATTTACAATACTGAAGAACGTAGCCTCCATAATAATCCATTTCTGCGAATACGAAACTGTACCACCTATGTTTGCAAACTCGAATTCTCATTTCCGCGACTCCGCTAGGGCTTTTGTTGTCGTGTGGCTCATCAAAGTCGTACCGAGGTCAATCGAGCGACAACCAATTCGGAGTTAGCGATAAATCTTGTCAGTCGCGATCGGTATTTCGTATAGAATGTATCGTGCTGCGAATATTATACGATTCAGTGAAATAATGTGTCAAAAGTGTTAAAGCACTTTTAATCGTAATAACGAGAAGCTGTGTTCTGAACCCTGGGCATCTTTACTTATTCTGGATGTAAGTATAAATTTATCTTATAAAACCATTACATTTTTTCAGGTTTAAAATAAAAGTCTATCCAATTTTTTTATTTTTTATTAAGTGTATGTAAATTTATTAGATACTGTTAATATAAATATTTACTTTCCATTAAAATAAAATGTTAGATTAATATCATCTCTGTGTATTTTATAATTTTATATAAATTGAAATCTAATATTCTCTAATATATATATATATATTCTCTAATTTATTGAAAATAAATATTCAATATAAAATTAATCTTATAATTATTTGCCATTTTTACAGTATATAAATATGAGAATTAAAACAGTTCCAAGACACAGAATGCTCCGAAACAGTATTAAGATTGCGACTGCATCAAGAAGCTCTTCAGATGAGAGTGATGCGGATATTGGAAAAAATTATGATTCTATAAAGGCAATGGATGGTCAAGATTCATGCCAGGTAGTTAATTATGTGATATTTTCTATTTTATTATACATTATAAAATTCATTTTTATTTGAAATTATTAGAATTTTTCAATAATTATCAGAAAAGTGTAGCTGCGCGATTAGATTACGAAATTTTGTATATGTAAAATTTGTAAACGTATTTTTGAACAATATTTAATTTCTCAATTTTTCCGGTATTAAGACGAATCTTATTTAACAGGCATATTCATCACCATCGAAGATTCTTATTCCACTTATGACGTTTATTAGTCCGGACAAGGAGATGACTTTATCTTCATCCACCAGCACATCATCGTCATTGATTAACGACGACAACAATAACGAGGTCATGGATCTATCAACAAAAGGTACTTCCAATCGTGTTGACGACATCGCGACAAGTACCTCCGCCGAGCCAGAGGACAAACTGAAAGATTCCTTCCTCTACAAGATCATGACCGATCCAAACTTTCTGAATAATATACAGAGGAACAAACAGATACAAACAAATATACAGACGAAGAAATTTGTCTGTCTCTATTGCAAGAAGGAATTTGCGACGTGTGAGGAATTGGCAAGTCATATGGATGTGAAAAAGAACGAAAGCAATCAGATCGTCTGCTGCGCCTGCAAAAAGACATTCGCCGAGAAGAGGTATCTCAAGTACCATCAGAGATGTCACTCCGACAGGATCAAGTTCACCTGTGACATTTGTACCAAGAAGTATACGAGGCTGGACAACCTGACGAGGCACAACGTCCTGCACGTGAACCCCGACAAGTTCTGCTGCACGATATGCAACAAGAAGTTCACGCGCAAGGATCTGCTCAACAAGCACCGCAAGAGCCATGAGAAATGTAATCTTTACTGCCTGAAATGCGGCAAGTATTTCAAGAGTATTCTCACACTAGAAAATCACCAAAAAATGCATCGCGAGCCATCGAACGCTTCGGCGAATATAGTTGTTTATAAGACTGAGAGTTCAGTTTCCACTACTAAGAATCTAATCTGCAAAACTCAAAATTTGGTTTCCGCCGAGAATAAAGTTTGTGAAACTCATGATTCAACTTTGGGTGAGAGTTTAGTTTGCACAACCGATGATGTAACTCGTAAAACTTAGAATTTACTTTCCGATATCTGTTAAACAAATATCTATTATGTATATATGTATACATACATATATGTGGTTACACATGTATGTATCTATATATGTATATAAATACATATATACACATACATGTCTGGTCTGATTTCAGTTTCTTATACTTTCTGGTAATCAAAGTAAGAATTTTTAAGGCCAGTGTTACCGAGTAAAGTACGACGTATTAAAAAGACATAGTCTTGTTAAACATTAGTTTGCAACACGAGCTTTTGTATAATTATTGTAAACTTATTAAGTGATAATTCTTTATTGCATCATTTATAGATTTTCAGATTTATAGATTTATATATAGATATTTGTAATTTTCTTGATCTATCGCGAAAAATTATCTGTGAAGTTAAATGGATAATTTTCAAAATTGTATTATGATTAATATGTATAAATATTATACATATACTAATGTACTGATTTAATTTGTTATTTATGTTGTATTATGATTATCATGGTATTTAATATTTCTTGAAATCATTATCCACAACTTACAATTAGTTACTTAACTATATTACATAACGTTACTGTTACCACTAATGTTCAATAATCTTATTCATGTCAACTTTTTTGTATGTTATAATTATGACAAGAATATTAAATCTTTTTCTACATAAAAATATATTCGAACTTATACCGAAAGAAAAGTTATCATTTCTGGTAACATTTCACCTTAATTTAATTGAAAATTCAAAAATACTATTCCTGTTTTTCTCATATGCTCAGAACATGGAGTACCTACTGGGAAATAAGCTGAATACGATGTGTCTCGCGTATAATCCCATTCAGCTTATATCCAATCATGAGAATTAGAAGGCTCACTTTCTTCAGAAACTCTCGCCACTCTTTTCGTCCCTTTTGGCTTTGCACGTTCATACATTTTTTCTTCATAGCTCTCTTCGCTGTTAACTCTCTTTCTCACTTGCAATTTAATGCAATTAAGTCGAGCGTTAAAATATCGTTCTTAATTCGCCGGCGGCACCCTTTGTTTTAAACGTGGTTTTAGCGCGAACGACTCACGTTGGGGCCTCCCGTTCTCTCTCTTTCTCTCTGTCTGTTCATTCTTGTTCTCTCTCTCGATCCATCTTTGTCTCTCATTTTCTGTTTTTTCTTCTTTCTCTTACTAGACGAAGTATACAATTCGTTTTTCCGTAAGAAATATACATGCGTGTCATCGTCGCATTTTCCTGCACAGTGCCATGACTTTGATGCTCTATTACCACAAACTCTGGCCGTCTTTTACGAAATTTTAATTATTTCTTTTTTTTAGAATACTTTATAAATTCTTTGCAGCGACAGAGAAAAGTTTTAGCGCCTAATAATATTTAAAATTTGGATTTGAACGAGATAAGAAATCGAAATTCTTTGCTGATAAATGATAGCGTATGTTTTTTACATATTTGATACGAAATTCATTTTCTTTAAGTACGAAACGTTTGAATTCTGGATAGAGAAAGAAAATTTATTAAAACACAGTAAGAAAGATGGCGTGAATTTTTTGTCTATAAACATTACACAGTTTTTTAAAATACAATTTTCTCCATTTTCTTTATTTAAACATCAAGCAATTAGTTATCTATATTTAACTTAAATTCTCCTCTACCAATTCTGATCTACTTTTCACTCTGTACGCTGCTAGCTACACTCGTTTCGTATTCTCTTTGTTCCTGGCATCCTGAAGAACTTTGAAAAGGTTTTTTCGCTTGCGACATTGAAAGAAAGCTCGACGAAGCACTCAAAGATAGAGCAATAGGAGAGTCCGCCAATTTTCAATGCGTCTCTCTTTCTCTCTCTCCTTCCTTCTGTCATCCTGGAATTCTCCTGTGTCCCTTTGATCCACTTACTCGTCCAACGCGTATCGCGTATGCGGACTCGACCAAAAATGTAACAAAGTTTTCAGGAACGTCCTGGCAGAGAGGCTAGTACAGATTCTGCGGTCTCTTTGGCGAGCGTCGAACCCGGTTCTTGCTAGATGAACGATGTCCTCTTTTCGCCGTCCTCCGGTTACCTTCCCTCTACTGTGATACATTTGAACGTTACCCAGATACTCAAAATGATTTTGTGTGATGTATGAGTGACCATACAGATAGTAGAAAAACTGTTCAGTAGATTTGATTCAATATTTTTCGAAAATATTACATAAATAATCATTGCAAATACAGTATGAACAAATTTAAAAATAATTTTATTTATAGCAAATATATTACGCTTTTTTCTTTGATTTTGATATTTATCTATTTTTAACTCCAAATAAAGTATGTATTAAATTTTCTTGATATATTTTAGATATTTTCTTTTGCCTTAAAATTGCAATAAATGCTTTTAATCGATATGAAATCTCTTAATAGAGGATTAATCCTTAAATATAGAAGTCAAACACATTTACTTGATAGACATTTTAAGATTGTTTATCTCCTCACGTTGTTGTTTAATCTCTCCTTGTGCCGAAATTTAAAGCATTATACCGTAGAAGAATCTCTTTGATGTCGCGCTTTACATGCAATATTTACATGCTATCGAGGGAAGACTTTAAACTTCTTAAAGATATTTTGAAGGCCCGGGAGTACTTTCAGCGAGCTTGCTGCATTAAGAATTCAGGGGAGGGGCACAGTGGCATTTATTCATTCAGGCATTAATGAAAAGACTGTATGGCTGATGCTTTGTGTACAGAAATCGATGCAAAAGACGAGACGCTGCATGCGACTTTTGTATTTATTTTGATGGCCTTTCAATCATAAAAATTTTAATAAAATAGAATTTTTTGTTTTACTATTATTAACCATTTTTTTCAATATTTTTAAAAAATTTTTAGATTCGTTTGAGATTACATTTTGAAATATCTGTTTTCGTATGTTAAAATCATAAATATATCATTAAATTTTCAAGTCTGTAATTGATGCATTCGATCGATTTGATTAATCGTTGTTATAACGTATATCACACGATCTAACATTAATGACGTGTTAAAATATTTTGTACATACGATGTGCACCTAGCTGGAAGACAGGTGGGACGACAAGAAGTGGAAAATGGGTAAAAACGCGTAAGGGTAGAGATTTCCCCGCAATTTTAAAAACAGCTAAGCATTTCACGTGTTTGTTTGAACGCGCACAATGCCATTAGAAGTGCCTTTTAGCCCCTCTATCGTCCTCGCTATCGTCGCCGTCGCCGTCGCCGTTGTCGACATCGTCTACGTTGTCGTCTCTCGCGACCGACCCTTCTCCAACCCCCTCGGGTCGAAAAATCTGCTCGCAACGAAACACAAGGCGTTCTATGTACGCAGCACTGAGTTTTTCACGGTTTTCGTCTGGCACTTCGACGCTCGTTTTCCCAGACCGCACGCGTGTGCGCACACGTGTTATGCACGCGCGCCGCTGCTGCTGCTCTCTTCTCAGTTAGGGTCATAACGTTTGTTTTCCTACTTACTTTGCATCGCCGAATGGAAAGCGAAATATCTGGGAGATCAAGTCGCTGACGAACAAGAAGGCCACGGTATCCTTACGACTTTGTCGGTGAGTCAATTCTGATCAGATATTTCAATCGAGATACATTGCGCTCTCAAATCTTGATCTTAAAAGAACATCTTAAAAACATTATAACGACTAAAAATTATTAATCACTCTCTTTCAATAGATATTATAATACAAATTAATTTTACTCTTTAATATTAATTTAATAAAAAAAATAAATTAGATATTTTACTGCCATTCTACTACAACCTTTAGGCTCGAATTTCTTTGTTGTTTATTTTACTCGCGTCGGCATATCATGACGCGCTTGAGTTTCGCCCGTTTACATTAATATTACATAATGTCATGTCAAAGGGCGTATCCTTCCTCATTCTCGCCGTTATCCTTTACGCGTACCCCTTTGCACTTCGATGAGGCTTTTTCGAGCGGCCAAGCAACATAGGGCTGCCTCGTGAATAATTAGCGAACGAGATGTTAACTGATGGATTTGGAAATTTCTCCAAATGGCTTAAAAAATATCTACATTCCGTTCGTACGGTAATTTCCCACGAGTGTTGCCGTATGATAATTAAAAAATAGTGTACTCGTCCGTAAAATTAATTCTTTGCGTTTTTAGCGAATTCAAATTACCTTGTTCTGTATGAAACGGTTCCCTTTTTTTTTTCAAAAGTATCTAGTGTATTTTGTTTCAACCATGATATGTTTAAAGTCGGGAACACAATACAAAGGTACAGACAATAGGAACAGGGAATAAGAACAGAATGCATTGATATACACGGCTTCCGATTGGTTGAAAATCGATATTCTGTTGCTATTCCCTATTCTTATTACCTATACCTTCGTATTATGTTCTAGCCTAACACATACCTATTATAACTATCGACTAAAATTCCTTCTATTTTTATTTTTTTTGCTAATCGTTAAATTGTATTATTTATCGATACAGAATTTCCAACGTATTTGTCTCACAATCAGACAGTTAGATTGATTCCGGCTGACTTAACCGCAAGACATCACCAAGGGGGTATAAAATCTCTCGTGGAGAAAGTAAAAAAAAAAAAAGAAATCGCCTCGCTTAGGCAAACGCGGCCAATAATCGCTGATAATTTATTAAGGCAAAAAACGCTGGCGATCCGCCCTACCGGGCTTCTTGCGTTATTTAAGAAAATAAATATTTGATATCTCAAACAAAGACTCGGCTATTCCTCTCCTTGCCGAAGAGCCGAAACGGAGGAGCGGAAGGAAGATAAGGGTGAGGCCGCGAGAAGGAAGGACCAAGGATCGCAGCTAAAAAGTGCCGAGGGAGAGGGTCGGTAAGTCTCTCGCCTGCTTAAAGGCGCCGGCGGGGGTGGCGACTCATTGGCCGTGAAATATGGGGTAAAAGGTTCGATAATTGATTACACAGATTTTTTATGCCGCAAGAAGCCTTAATTCTCGCCGCTACCCCTCGGAAATAATTCCGCGCCGGGAAACCTGAGCGACGCGGCCGGAATATCGAGTCCCTTACCGCCTCCCCCTTACAAGGGAAGACAATCTCGTGTCGGCCCTTACAACCGGTTCGGAGATTAATCGAAATCGCGATTGCGCTTTTCACGAGCGACAAGAATAAACGGCGTATCGGTGAGGCAATGTCTGCTTTATCGAATGAATGTCTCCGCGATAATCCCTTGTCTTTTCATGAGAATCATTTTGGTCTCTACCAAATATAAACGTGATAATGTTTATGGATAATAAGTTTTCTTCTAAGCGATTATTTTCTATCTCTTTTAATTAACTTGCCTCCTTTTTTAACGATTATTTACATATATTTGTCGGTTAATGCTTTTTCCGTAATCAATGTTGC